GAGAGAGAGAGAGGGAGAGAGAGAGAGGGAGAGAGAGAGTAGTACACAAACTACAACAGTGTCATGAGAAAAGTACAAAAACTACAGAACAAATGTTATTGAACTTTTTTCAAAAATATTTTAGTAGTTGTCACTAAAAGATAAGGACTTAAAAAAAGAACACAGTAACATCACCAAACTAACAAATGAGCAGTTCCATAGTATCCCCTGTCGTCTAGTTAGTGTTCAGATCTCCCCTCATAAATGGTTTATATAGTTGATTTTACAGGTGAGAAAACTGAGGCATAGGGTGGTGAAGCAACTGACTCAAAACTCACACAGTTGATAAAGGAATAAACTGTAGACCGTTGGGGGCAGAGTTCCTGTCTTATTCATCTTTGATTACCTGTCTGCTGCCAAAGAACAAGCTCTTGACTATTGATACTTTCCTATAAAATGATGGCCTCTCTATAAAATCACCGCCTCCTTGTAAAATCTCGCCACTGTTGGGCATTTGGGCATTGCTAATTTTTGTTTATTCTTATTCATGTTTCTATGAGTACTCCCTCTGCCTAGAATGCTCTTTGTTAGTCTCTTTGTATGCTGGCTCAATGCACATGCTTAAAGTATATTCCCTTTTAAAAACTATTTTCTTTTCTTTTTTTATACATCTTTATTGGAGTATAATTGCTTCACAATGCTGTGTTAGTTTCTGTTGTACAATAAAGTGAATCAGCCATATGCATACATATATCCCCATATCCCCTCCCCCTTGAGCTTCCCTCCCACTCTCCGTATCCCACCCCTCTAGGTCGTTGCAAAGCACTGAGCTGATCTTCCTGTGCTATGCGGCTGCTTCCCACTAGCCATCCATTTAAGACTTGGTAGTGTATATATGTCCATGCTTCTCTCACTTTGCCCCAGCTTCCCCCTCCCCCACCCCGTCTCTGGAATAGGACTATCGGGTAAAATGATTTGAGCATTTTTATGCCTCTTGATACATATTGTCAGATTGTTTTCCTCAAAGCTTGGACCAATATTTATTGTTACCATTTGTATCATTTCACAATAAGCTCACCAGCATTATGTGCTGTGAACATTTTCTTTTTTCTATTTTTTCTTTTTATTTAAAAAATTTAAAAAGTTTTTGGCTGTGTTGGGTCTTTGTTGCTGTGTGGGCTTTCTCTAGTTGCGGCGAGCGGGGGCTGCTCTTCGTTGCGGTGCCCGGGCTTCTCATTGCAGTGGCTTCTCTTGTTGCGAAGCACGGGCTCTAGGCGCGCAGGCTTCAGTAGTTGCAGCACTTGGGCTCAGTAGTTGCAGCGCGTGGGCTCTAGGGCACGCGGGCTTCAGTAGCTGTGGCGTGTGGGCTCGGTAGCTGTGGCTTGTAGGCTCTAGAGCGCAGGCTCAGTAGTTGTTGTGCACGGACTTGGTTGCTTCATGGCATGTGAGATCTTCCCGGACCAGGGATCGAACCCGAGTCCCCTGCATTGGCAGGCGGATTCTTAAGCACTGCACCGCCAGGGAAGTCCATGACCTTTTTCTTGTTGGCTAATTTATCTGAAATGGTATACCTCAATATTTCTTTCATTCTTGTTTCTTTGACAAGGATAAAACCTTTTTTTTTTGGTTTATTTTATTTCCTTTGATGTTAATGTCTTTTTTTTTAAGTGATCCTTTTTTTAAAAAAATAAATACGTTTATCTATTTACTTTTGGCTGTGTTGGGTCTTCCTTGCTGCGTGGGCTTTCTCTAGTTGCGGCGAGCGGGGAGTACTCTTGGTTGCGGCGTGTGAGCTTCTCATTGTGGTGGCTTCTCTTGTTGCAGAGCGTGGGCTCTAGGCGCGCAGGCTTCAGTAGTTGTGGCACACAGGCTCAGTAGTTGTGGCTTGCAGGCTCTAGAGCGCAGGCTCAGTAGTTGTGGCACACGGACTTAGTTGCTCCGCGGCATGTGGGAGCTTCCCAGACCAGGGATTGAACCCGTGTCCCCTGCATTGGCAGGCGGATTCTTAACCACTGCACCGCCAGGGAAGTCCCGTCAATATATTTTTATATCCTCTGTTCGCCTAATTTGGGAGGTCTTAAAGTTTTTTTTTTCTTGCAAATGAAGATGAGCCTGCATATGCATGTGTGTATGTATTTAATATAATATTTGATACATATATTTTTTCTTAATCCGATGGTTTATTATTTTAGTTTTGTGATTTTTTGTTATTCTTTCATAGAAGTTTCAACACACTATCATATATCTTAACTAAGTGTGCTGCAATTAATAGTAAGGAAATTTGTCTCTAACTGCTCTGCGGTTTATAGATTACCATATATATGGTGTATATATATAACAAATAGAACATTTATTGGAGAAAAATTTAGCACAAACAGTAAAATAAAATAACCCACTAATCCCACCATTCAGAGACAACTATTGTTAAAATTTACTTTCATTCCTGTTTTTTTAAGTGTCATAGTGCACATTGTTTTTAACTTAAAAAAATTATATACTATGAGATATGGTTTTCTTTACTGATATGTTAGATGGACTCTTTATTTATAAACATTTTAAATGTTCACTGAGTGGTCTAAAATGACATATATTTAGGATATAAAGATGCAATTCAATAAATGGGAATTAGCACTTCATAAATGCAAGGTATAGTTAGGTGTGGGGAGGTACCCAGAGTGGGCAAGTACCATGGGAGTTTTACGAGAATCTTGGGAAGCAAAATTCAGGGTACAAGCTCTAGTTGCCCCACTCTGTACAGAGACACCCCCCCCCCTTGAAAAGATTGGGCTTTCTTACTTGTCATTGTATTTTATTCTAATTATTTATGGTTTAAAAAGTGTGAATCCGTATGGAATATATTGCAGTAGTACTTGTCAGGTCTGAATCTGGTTAGTTCTTGCCTTAACAATTCTTAAGTAATGATTTCTAACCCTTTTTTTATTTCTGCTTTGCCATACTGTACATTAATTTCATTTTTTTTCAATGATCTCTAGTTTTTATCCCATTCTTTTGACAACAGCTTTGTGCTATGTTTAGAAAACTGGTA